ATATATATATATATATATAATTATAAATAAAAAATTCCTTTTCAAAATCGTTGAGTTTTCAATTTTAATTGACAAACAATAATTGCTAATAAAACTTGTACCTTGTCTTATTTACAGTATGCCAGCACAAATATAAATCTCTGATATACTTACTAGGCTATAGATTTTCTATGCTTATAACGATGATGAATATAATAAACAATACGTTTAATAAATTTTAAACGACTTAATTCAGATTTCTTCCTTGTTTACCTAAAAACCTTTTATTACATTACAATATACTCAAGATAATAAAATTATTAGCAAAAGTAGATGAATATATGTTTCGTATTTTAAGTGAATATCAAATCTATAATAATAATAACAATCAAATTAAAATTCGTCTAACGTCAGCTGCTGTCAAAGTATATAAATAACAATTCTTACATAAAAAGTGTAAATTATCGTGTTCCCAGAAATGCTGACAACCATCATCAAGTATTACATATAATTCATTTTCAATTATTGCTTCCTCCATACTTTTATTCTTCTCGTGAAGTTTTATTCAGAACTCAAATTTAATGACTTGAAGAGAAATTACGTATTATAAAATTTGTTAAAACTATTACTACACGTACGTTAATATGGATTTCTTTCTAAAGGAGGTAATGCTTAATATTTCAGGGGATTTGGAGCGTCTCAGGAGGTACTGGATGACGGGCACCTGTAAGCCAGAAAAGGAGGTTCAAAAGAGCAGCGATCCCTTAGCACTGGAACAGTTCTTATCTGCGTTCCTCTTACTGATGATGGGAATCCTTTTGGCCGCAGCCTTTCTACTTCTAGAACATTTGTATTTCAAATACGTCAGGCAGCATCTGGCGCGAAGCGACGGCGGTGGCTGTTGCGCACTTTTCAGTCTGGTAAGCTCCTTCCTGCGTGATCCATTTTATCCCGGGTATATTGATCGGGATAAACTTTTAATTCTGTTTAACGCAGATTCAATATTTAACTGTAATATGTTATCAACACGTTCGCGATCAACGTTCTCGATCAACGTGTCAGTATGCGATCTTCATAATTACAGTGCTTTATTAAATGCAACAAATCGTTTTTGTAAGATGCAGATAAAATAAGGAAAGAAATCGTGTAAACTTCGTGAAAGTAATTGAATTTTCTTTACATAAGATACAAAATATTGAGGAAATATGTGACTCTGGTCGCGAATGTGTTAATGAATTGTGTATCCTGTATTGTTATGAAAAACAAGGACGAATTGTCGTAGTTATATTTTATCTTATAACTAATCAAACTCAAGAATTCAAAAAATTTGCAACAGAAAATTTTATAGATGTGAAAGAACAATGTATTTTTTGTTGAAACTTTTTTTCTCTATCTCGCACCATCCTCAATATAATCCACGGAAAAGAAAAATTTGTATTTTTTCCAATTTTCCATTTTTTTGCCTTTTTTTAATATACTGTTTAATAACTTTTGAATTTTTGAGTTCGATAACTTCCCTTGTCAGTCAGATTCTATAAAGATATCGTCTAATCAATACATACGTACTAATCTATCTTATTTTTTTTTACGTAAATATTTGCAATTTTTTAACGCTTTAGCAGTTATATTTCAAGCTTACATTATTACAGAATATACTGTCATGAATAATTTGTCATTCAGATTTATCAACAGACTATGGATTTTAGTGTGTCCATAATTTATTTCATTTTAAACTAAATGGAAATATGACAGAATAAATCAATTAACACCAATACTTCACGCAAAAATCACAATCTATTTACCAAGTTTTGAATAAGTTATAAATCTCATTAATCTTCACCGAATACTCTATTATACCGAATTGCAGACACGTATGTCTACTATAAATTCATAAAATCAATAATCTGCGTATCACATTTTAACGTTCCAAAACTTATGACTTCCCATGTTCTATAATCTATTTTATTTACGATAATTCCTGAATAAAATCAAATTATCTAATATTGTCTTAAAAATTACCATTATAAAATGCGTCTAATTTAATACTACGTGAATGTCATATTCTTTGAAGAGCATGGGCAAATCACTGACATTCCGTGGAGCAGTATTCGAAGCGCAGGATATCTTGAGGTTCCACAGATGCAGGGACCCCATCTGCGACACACACTTATGGAAAGTGAAGCACGAGCTGGACATGGCCAGGATCAGGATACGGCAATTGGAGAAGGACCTCGAGGCGCATGGAATAAAACCGAGGCAGACTAAGTACGCTTTTCCTCCACATAATTCGATCTGATGTCGTTCTAAGATCAAAGCTGTTCGACTTGGTGTACGGTAATTGGGATTCTCCGTTCCAAGAGCATCTCAATGAATGTCTTCTTTAACAAAGGGAGGTCGCAACCTGGCCAAGTCTTTGAAGAGAATTTCGGAGTGAACTCCGCTTGCAAAATTAAGTGTCGATAAATATATAATAATACGTTGTCAACAGGATGTTGAATAATACATGAATCGTTTTTAGGTCAAAGTGATTAACTTCCATTTTCTGCTTTCAATTTTTAATGATAATTATTGCTGGACTTAATATCATATTTATTAATTATTATATTATGATATTTATTGGTACAATAATTATCACCGGATCGCTTTACTTTTCTCTACTTTTGAAAATAAAATTGTCCTATTTTTCATTTTATGGAGTTAATTATTTTGACAAATTAATGACTCGTATGAACAAAACGTGCTGATATAAATTTTGTGGGGTAATATACAATGAAAGATGGTTTTTGGCAGTTCAAGCACTAAAGTTTCATCGTTAAGCTTTATTTTATTCAAGCAGCGTTGGTACATGTTGAGACCTCCATCCATAACTTCGATGAAACTACGGTAAACGTCAAATTAGTTGGCTGACCAAAGCCATTATCTTAACTATGTGTTGCGTCGCGAACTACCTCCTCTTCCACCATTACGGGTTTCAAATTCTTTCTATTAAGAGAGAGACAGAGAAAAAAATAGCTTAAAAAATCTGGACGAAAGTTTAGATAAAAATTAAAGTAAAAATATTTTTATTCTTTTATTGTTATGTCAAAACGAGTATGCCAATTAAATCATGGGTTGCTGAATCTCTCCAATGAGGATTTCAGGCAGTCAAGAACAAAATACAAACTACTTAATTTATTAAAATATTTTAATAAAAAGAATTAAATAAGGAATGATATTTCACTATGTTTGGTTAATGAAGTCGGGGTAATAGTAATAAAAGAGCCCTACATTAAATTTTATTATACTTTTTAGTCTTTCGAATCTTTATGTATTATAAATGCATGAACATCTGAAGTTTAACCATAAAAAAATACGTCTTCCTTTTATGCTTCAGTATTTGCTCTCAAATTACTTTCAGTATTCCTTCTATATAATTCTGCCACTCTTTGCTCCATTATTCTAATTAAAATTTTGAAACGTAAGACAAACTATTAGAATCATCCGATTATCAATCTAGATAAATAAATTTGGCTATTAGATAATAGGAAATATGTAGAAAATTCTAACTTCAATTATATAATAAAACATACGTAAAATTCCAAATAATTAAACAAACTCTGAAAATTGAAGATAAAAAAGGAAATGATACATAGTGACTAAAAATATTTTTGAAAACCTCAATTAGACATCTAATTTAGCGTCTGCCTTAGTTTCAAACTTTTTTGAAATTATTCCCTTAATACCATGTAATGTCGCCCTTAATTCTTTATTATGTATTATGGCGTAGGTGAAACGTTAGGTACACATGTTGACTTGTTACTTATATACATTCACGTAGCTGTACAACGAGTAAACGTAAATGCGAATAGTATTGCCCATGCATCTGTGAAGTTTCTTTAACAATTTGAAGTTTCAAGATTCGCTCACTGACCGATGAAAAAGGCAAAGAGAAATTCATAATTAATAACCTAACGTTGGCGAATGATTGGCAATGAGCGGTTTTTACCTTCCCGTTCATTATAGTCCTCTATTCCGTCTCCATTCTCCTAAATTCCATTGGATTTCGGAATGTAATACACTCGGGTGCAAATAGTACAAAAGAAGACGTACTTTTCAATTTTAATTTCAGTACTATCTAGTATACAAAGTTATCGTAAAATAATATCTTACAAATGCTGTTAATGATAGTTATTTACTATTTAGTAATACATTTTTGCTTAACCTATTAGAACACAGATGTCCACAAAAATTTTAATTAAACTTCTAACTATCTTCATCAGAAAAACATATATATTAAATTAAAAATTTCATTTTCAATATTTTTCAAAATCTGATAAATAGTACCTATTTAACTTGAATGTACTACCAACTAAACCAGCTGAAACATTTGTAGAGTGTACTAGAATAGTTCACATTCAATTCTAATCAATTCAGCTATTTATTTTATATTACGTTTGAGATATAAAGAATCTTTTCATCGTTTCTAACTGCTAACCATTTCAAATTAACCTCTAGACTTACGCGTACACAAAAACAAAAATTCACAAACAAGTAGAAGCACAGAATTTCCAATAGGAACACGAAATGTTTTAGGCGTTTATCGCCCGACCGTATCACACGAAGCACCACAGCTTGATTCTCACTAAGTTCCGGAAACCTCTGTTCCATAAAGCATCCTCATAACGTCAGCTCTCGACGCCCAACAACCTCCACCCCGTCAATTACGAAAGTGTTTCACAAAGCGGAGGTGGACCCGTATAAGAGATATCTACGCATGCTATCGCATAGTCACTTCACTTGTCTTCCGTAAAGTCTCAAGGATTTAATCTCGGTTCGCGTCGACGCTCAGCAACGTCATGAAAAATCAAGAAAAACAGCGGAGTCACCGAACGTCAAATAATCGGCTTTCACGTTCGAGAGAAATTCATTTCGTTCGTGCGGCAGTTAGCACTTGATTAATTAAAACCGCAGGTGACATACATTTAAGGCGATAGAACGCGCAGATCGAGCTTAAATCCTGACCTACTTTCTGACGTCACTTGGAGCCTGGTCGCACAGCATGCTCTTATCTACTGGCATGTACATATACACATGCATTTATACACCTGTATTCGTTCACACGTATACATGTGTGTGTATATGTACGTACATATATTTACATGCAGAATCAGATTGTATGTATAATATTCACACGTATACTTATATAAGTGCGTCAGTATCGTGATATCGGCACAAGCATATTCTTTCTTCCTAGTGTTTCTTATCTATATTCGCCATTTTGTGTACATTCACGATCGTGAGATTGAGACCATCACCGTTGATAAGTCAGGATCAAATCGTTTCATAAATGAAGTCTTCCATGCAATTTAAAGGTGTTTCTGTAGCTTCAGTGGAAGAAGAAAATATATATCTCTTTCATGTTTGAAGAATTTAATATATTTACTTTATGATTCTTTACATGTGCAAGTCAAATTTCTATATTTTTCATAATTATCTTTACTATGATTTTCAAGTTTTGTTAACTTTGAGGATTTTAAGAAATTTAGATATTTTATATACCGTTGTGAATGTTTATTTTCGTGTTTTACAGATGAAAATCTTATTGAATCAGTTTGTATTAAATATTTTGTGTATCTGTCACTGTTTTCTAATATTCCACAGTACTTTAATTCATGAAACGAAGAACTTTTTTAATTTGAATTTAAATGTTATAGTTATTTAATTAATGAACTGACGAGATACCTGCAATTATTTACAAAAATATATGTTGGATACTTTCTAATTTTCTTCCAAATGTAAATGAACAGAAACAACATTAATATAGATGGTCTCAAAACTTACGGTCTATAGTGTATTTCCACTGCATTATTTGAGAGACTGTTTCACGGTGAATTGGCTTCGAATTTTCGTCTGTATGAGAAAGTTACACCATGATAACGAGAAATAAAAAAGAAAGAAAAGGGGAGAGCGAACGTGTAGAATGGGAAGACGGCACGTTGGTTGCAAAAAGTATAACTTCTCAACGACACGAGATCTCGTCGAACTTCCTTAACCAGGACTGAGAAAAGTTTCGTTTGAAAACTCCATTCGAAACAACCCAAAGGTATTTGCAAAGTATCCGAGTGTATTGTTTCGGCGAATCGTAGACACTTTTAATCGAATTTGCCAGAGGAGGAGGCCAACAGAAATGTTTAATTCATTCGGTAAGGATAAGTGACAAACGAAGAAACTATTCTAGTACATTTTCCTTAAAAATAAATTAGTCGTAGAAAAGCTACAGTCAGAATCAAATTGAACCTATGATAGAGTGTTCGATAATAAAAGAATATATTTTGCGTCATGTTTCAACCCACTTACTTCAGGTTTTATTCATCAAGCTTTAATATATTCCCCACTTACAATTAGCAGCATACAAAAATTTGGAATGAAATCTGGCACACCGTGCTTATCAAGATGTGCATCAAAACACCTTCGTTTTATTTCAAAAGTCTAGTTCTATAAAAATAAAAAACACCGTACAATTTGTCAGAATGAAAATTACTAATAAATATTTGAAAGCGATACCATTTGTATTTTACAATAGCAACATATAGTACAATACCGAAGAACAATTTTTCAAAATTTTTCGCCGAAGAAGAATTACTTCTTAAATTCTCATGGTCTCTTCGTTAAAATATCTCTTGCATCAGTAGTGAAAAAAGACGAGATGAAAAGCAGTTATCAACCCTCACATTATAACGAGGGAATAGAATTCACCTGCGTTATTATGATTAGTGTGAACTTTTCGACACAAAAGTAACTTTCTTATTCAAATATATGCCGCTGAATCGCGATTTCAATGTTAACAAGGAGACTCAGTTTCATCGGGTATGAATGAAACAAAATGACGGTCAAAAGAGTAAAGAGAAGGATAAGTGAAAGAGGATGATGAGATCTCGTGTCACGAGATACTGCTGGGCCATATTAAGAAATGGTTGGTGGCGGAACGATGCTGGAACAAGAAGCCTGGCACATATCCACGTCGGCTTTTTTAAAGGAGGAAAACCGGAAGTCTCGGCTGGTGGCGAAGATGCTTTCAAAGCTCGGACCGCCATTCACAACCGGAACCATTGGCGGTGGAAGCTCCGCATCCGCTACCGCCATACTTCGATTCGTAAGTCCGCAACGCCCAAAACACGTAAGAATATGTCAGTGACGTAGGAGCTGTCGCAAATATTTTCAGAACGTGTCAAACCGTCGTACTTTCTACCGGGTTCCAGTTTTTTTGGTATCTTTGACCTAAGAGCAGCGTCTCGTGGTTGAAATCGTAATCCTAGGTGTCCTAAATTACGAAATATTTCCTTAAAAATATTTAATATCAAAAAAGTTACAAATGGAAACAATTTAAAAAATAACTTATATTAATTACAGATAATTTTTCATTGCTTTCCTTATGTCTTGCCAGACATCCTCTTAGCTACAATCTTTCTTTTAAATTTTTCTGCTTCAGTAATAAATTCTTAACATTCCTAAACGAACATATTGTTTTTACGTATAATAATCCTAACGATACAAAGATACGGATTAAAAAAGTGTTATCAGATTGCTCCCAGATGCATACTCCGAAAACTAACATTATCAGTTCAAAAAACTAAGAGTAGCGTAACTGTTTGAGCACCACGGATTTTTGCAATAACCCGGTCAAAAAGTGTCAAGTGATCGCGCTTTTTTCATTTGAGTTCAGAAACTAAATTACGCTTTTCTATTTTTACATTAAAAAATTCTGAACAGTCCGATCGTTGTATTTTTCCATCTCTAAGCAGGTAGTAACAAAAATAAAAATAAATAATTAAAAGCAAAATAAATAAACTTAATTTGATTCTACGAACCGATAGATATTCAGTTTTAGACAGTGTAATGGAAAAATGCCATCACGCTGTTTAGGACTTAAAGGTTAATAAAAAGCATTGTTTTTCCATATAGAAAACTCATTTCCCCGGTTTCGTTTTTTTCCAAACACACGCTATGATGTGCAAGAAAACTAAAACGAAAGCAACGGACACAGAGTCATCCCCCACATCCCTTAATGTCGTAACAGCTCGCGCCACTCCCTTAACACCAAACGTACAACGACGAGTAAATTGACCAGTTTCAAAATACGATTTAAAATTCCGCATTCTCATTCATTCATTGAATTTTGTATCAATTCCTACACTATCGGATTAATCAATTTGTCAATGTCTATCTTTCCCTCTATTTCTGTTTTCATTAAGAAAAATGCATCGTCTAATTTATTTACTTTTATTTAGTAATCAATAGTTTGACCAGCTACGGTAGGAATTGGTAAATACAAAATGCCGGTACGTTCAGTGTTAACCACTTTTCTCGCGCAGCGATCACACCCGCGAGATGTGTTCAGTGGGTCAGGGATACCGGTGACTTGGCACCGGAACAACAGCGGCGCCGCATCAGCTGCCAAATGTCCGAAAAATTCAGGGCTGTTGCCACCTGCTGTCGTTTCGAGGTGACCAGCGTTACGCCGCGTCGCTTAAAAAGGAACTAAAAACCGGCGCGCAACACATGGCACGGAACGCGACATCTGGCACGGTCCGCTTAACACAGACACGGAGTTGTCCTCTTGCCTGAAAACATTTCGCATTCGAAATTCTGAATCCGTCGGCCACGGGCAAGAAGTTTCCAAGAGTAACAACCCTCTTGCCGGGATTCGCTAATTTATAATCGACCGTGACACGGCAAAAACATCTTTGCGGACTCGCTTCGCCGGAAGAACGTTCCTACGTCGCTACGAGCCACCCTCTGTACCAACCCCTCCGTGACTCCACGCCTCCCCACTCTCCCGGAGCATACGCAGAAAATCGACGAATCGATGCTTTATATCAACGCTTCTTAAACTTTTTCATCCATGACCGCTTTTATCATCGAGATTATTTCGCGACCTCAAAATGGAGGGATTGTGACTAATGTTTCTTTAATGCGAGGTTTACGGAACGCGTCAATTTTACGCATATTGAATTTTATACATACTATTTGGTAAATATTTACATCGACTTTGATTGGTGCAATTACACCAGTATGTACCTACCTCAATTATTTATTTTAAAACGTCTAACTTCCAAGTTCTGAATGAATGAACGTGAATTTTTCTAAGATCAACAGAATAAACCGTACAATAAATATTCGTAAACCTAGTGTTAAATTCATGTATCTGAATTAAATTTTCACTACCCCAACATTTCGCTTTACGACCCCATTTGAGGTCGTGTCCCATAGTTTAAGAAACGCTGCTTTATATCATTCTTGGTCGTTCCGCGAAGTAGGCAGGAAAATTGCTGTCGCGGCGGAACGGGAAGAATCGGAAATGGTATTTCGAACGTCGGACGAATCCGTGCACCTCCGGGAGATGATAAAGACGATAAAACCGATCCCGCGCAGCTCCGGGGTCCGGTTTTGCGACGATCCTCTTCCACAGTACTACGAGTAGGACTTCGATTACCCGGCACGCTATCGAGCACGGTCCTCCGGAATCTTTGTTATTCGCAAACTCGATAATACGGATTTCTATGTCGTTTCTTGGTATGTGTACGATCAAATGGCATGCCTACAGTAAGACAGAAATTGTTCCGAATAAGATCTTTCTTCCTTAGAAACTGATTTTTCTTTTCAAATTTCATTTTTATGAAAGGTAGTATTTTACGATTAAATAGAACTCTGAGTACCATGTACTCAAATCTTTCGTTTTTAAAAACTCATCTTTGTTTGTAAATTTTATTTTCATGGAAGATACTATTTTATCATTAAATGAGGGTCTAAATACCATGTATTCAACGAATATTAATTAATTAACACTGAAACTATCGGATGGGTGAAATTGACTCACTTCAGAATTTTTATTTTGCAAGTGTTAAGAGAATATTTTTCGAGCTTTTAGTACTTGAGGTGAAACTTGATTTTCTAGAAGAAATAGATATTAACGTTATAAATTTTGTAAACATGCTTTAGAAGATTTCCTATCGGATCTTTGTTTGCTTGGACTATCAGTCCTCAATTCAATCGGATAAACGAGGTCCTACTGTGTCAGTGAAAGAAATGGAAGAAAATGGAGAACGATAACCCGCGAGCCTCGCGAGAATCGACGGCCGACGAGGTCGAAGATAAAATTAATAAACGTGAAAGTAGATTAGCCGCTTCGCTTTGTAGCCCAAAGAGTCTGCATTACACGCATTCAGATATATCCACTTTATTTTTCTTATTTTCCGACTTGTGATCTTCGTGTCGTGATCGACCGGCCCACTTGTTTTATGTGCTCGATAGCATGGCATGCGAGTTGAACTTTTCGATCGATCCGTGGAGACTGTATCGGAGACGCCGCAGCGGATGATCAATCGTCCCGGCTAAAGAAAACTTGACGTAACCAGGAAGAGATTTACTTGTAGGGGAAAATTCACTGGAAGTTAGGGAAAGAACAGGAATTAGCGCGGGAGACATTTGCATAGTGTTGTACAACGTTGACCGGCATTAGAATCTTGAATGCGTAGTTGGTTTCTGTAGTCAGAGAATTAGACGAAATTTTATATTTTTGTATGTACCATACGTCTTTAGTACAAACGAATAAAAATTAATTATAATTTAGTAGAAGTAATGTTAAATAATTAACTTTTAATTTAATTAAATTAATTAATCTCTAGTTAATGACGTTACAACTCAATACGTTATAAAAGATACGTGTTCATAGTAACGTAACGTTCAAATTATAGGTACACTGAAATTAATGTGAATAAAATTAAAATTATTTTGAGAAATATGAATAAGATACTATTTCGGAAGTGGACATTTTTTTGTAAGAAGTTAATGAAGTTGAAGGATCACACGAATAACATATTTAATAATCTGTTACTTGAATTATGCGGAGCGGAAGTCTGTCTTCCATATTAAACAAATACTTTCCTTATGAAAATATATATTATTCTAGTAATTCTATATACGCGTAACTATCTATATGCAACATACGGTATTTCTTTCCATAGAAATCATTACAAGGAAATTCTTTTAAATTTAGATTCATCGACACCATCGACGTTTGCAGGCCAAGAGACATGACCAGGAACCACGTCGTCAGCACAGAGTACACAGACAAGTTTTTGCCACCGGAGATATACAGGTAAACAAAGAACAAATATTATATTTCAAAAAATTGAAACGATTTGTGAATAAAATTTCTGGATATACTGATTGACGCAAAAATGAGGAACAAAGTATTTAATACTAAAGTGTCAAAAAATCGCTTAAATTTCCAAAATATTTAGTGCAAAATTTCATGTTTCGTTTGACAGACAACTGTTAAAAGATAAATTTGTTACGATTGCCCGAATAGTTGTTATCAATTTATTCTACGATTTTCATGAAATTGTTATAAAATCAATATTACATAATACGTATTAAATGTGATTCTACAAGTTAAAAATAGATGAAAATTAAGATTGAAATAAAAATAAAACAGAAAACAAGAAACATTTCTGTAAATAAAGAGGGGTATTATGCCTTTCTTTTGAAGTCACCTGCAGGTTGTTCAACACATCACTTCACAATTCCAAATCAAAAAAATTTAACGAAGTGGCACGTGCAACGAGCGTTTGCCACGAACAAAATAGCAGCGTCGAAAAATCAGGAAAAACTTCAAATCGTTCTATTTCTATAGACATCGCGACGATTCGCTTTCCGCAAAAGCTTCCGATTATGCGGGCGCCCCGCTGAAACTATTTTCTAGATGAAACTCTGTGTATTCGCGGATATCGAATACAAACATGAAATTCCAACTATCTTCTCAGTATGTTCAGAATGGAAAGGAAGGATTCAGAGTTTACACGAGAAACTCTCCCTTTGTGGTTTCATAACCCTCTTACAAAAGAATTTTAGTAACTCAAACATTTTCGATTGTCCTGAAACTTTGTAAATCTGCAAGGAATCTTAATGGAAGTATTAGACAACTTATTTTTGACTCAATTTCGTTCGTTCAAGTGAAATCGCGTTATGAATGGAAATACCTGTTACTCTATTTTCCTGTATATCTTTAAAACTATAGCAAATATAAAAAACTGTTTCAAATAAAAATTGAACACTTGTTCAGACTTTAGAATACTATCCTATTAAATTAATCAAAACTCTTCGTTTAACACCTTCACGACCAGGGTCACATAGATATGACGCTCAACATTTTGCGAGAAGGAAAGGAAATTATTTTCACATGTACTTTTATTTAAAATCGTAACGCATGGTGTATTATGAAGGATGTTGATGAGATTCATTTTTGCAATTTATTTTCTTTCTATAAACACTATTTGTTGCATTTAATAAGATATTATGGAAGATTATATTTTTCCGATGCAGCTCACTATACGCCGGTGTGAACGTGTTAATCGGCTACCAGTGAGTAATTCGTTAAAATGACGAAACTAACGAAAAAAATCAAATTCACTGTGCAGGGTCCCAGACGACGGCCCCGCTAGGACGGAAATTGCTGAAATGGAGACAGTTCTGTGATCGTAGGAAATCGGCGGCGACTGCCCAGCCCCCTCAGTGCAAAGGGAAATGCAACCGTGATGGCCCCTTGGGAGCAAAATGAGCCGCTTTTCCACTATGGACAACGAGTTTAATGCCTCGTAGCCTCGCGCAAGGTTTCCTTCGAAACGAACCATCCGAGAAAGACAGAAGTATTTTCGGGTTACGACTGAAGCTTCCAAACGAACACACAGCCGAACACAGAACCAAATTTCGTACACAAAGAGGACATGGGAGAACGTTCAGTGCCTATGAAACAAACACAAACAAGCAAGGACACGAATGAAGAAACAGCTGAAGTTCGATCATTTTCCTCGTTATTGAAATTTGCGACGACTGTTCCAATTGTTCCTTCACGAAAGAACGACGAGTCGCGTCAACCTCTCGTGATCGCGTCCAATCGTTCGTGAACACTGTCTGACAATTTTTACAGTTCGCGGCGTTTATCGTGCCGTTCGATAACACGTTCAAGACGCTCGCGGCGTTGGTCGTTGACCGTTTGAAATTTGTATTTTCAAGGATCGCAGAGAATCGGACTGGCACAGCTTGAGAGAATGGCGAGCTTACCACGCGTGCTTCGAGGATCCCATCGAAACCACGGTAGATTGTGTTTTCATCGTTCGAGAGAGGATTCGTTATTCGCTAATTCTCTGGTACTCCTTACGATTCGAATTTCTTGGCCTTCGAAGCGAGTCCTGGTTCATTTTTTTGGATTGTTGAGGAACGGGCCTCAAAATTTGAACCTAAGATGCGAGAGGGAATCGGGAAATGCAGTATTGCCTCCGTTCTCTTACGATTCTGCGTCGCTCTTAGCGTCTCGTTTCGAAAGACACGCGTCGATCGATGAAAGCGAAGGAGAAACATTCCACTGCTACGACTTCCGTAGAATTAGGGAAGCAATACTGTATCTGGGATGTTGCGTGAAGCTTCGATTGGGATCGCAGAAGGATACCTGGAGCCTAGGTACACCGACGAGAAACCAATCGCAAGTTCGTTTAGGCAGCAACAATGCAATAGATAGTTTATTGAAATTCCTAAATCTTTTGAAAACTCGTTAGAACTTTGTACGCAACTACAGCCCGATTTTTCAAAAATAGAGCGAACCTCGGGAGCCAACGACTGTTCGTTGAAACGAGCATCACAGCGAGTAAACTGATAGATGAGAAATGGAAAATCTGAATGGATATCTTGATGGGAGAAATGTCAATGTGTATCATATGGGATAACTGTGGCATACGAGTATGCTGTGCATATACATATATACATATATATTTAATACGTAATGTATGCGGGAACTACTATTACACGTTAAGTATGTATATTGTGGTAAACAATGAAATATTCTAAAAGAAACCTACTTCCAGGACGTAATATGCTCAACAAAAGTACACGTATGTTAAATTCACTGGGTATAACGATTAAATGAATACGTGAATGAGTGTCAGGTGTCGCGCGATAAATTTTTATGGGGTTAAGCGAAGAGAGTGGTCCAGTAACTTAAATGTGTTTAAACTTTTAAGTTATTTGAAAGTTGCTCAAGATAGAAAGGTCATTCGATTTTTGTTTACGTGTCATTAGAGGTTCGCAACGAAAGCAATCAAGAGATCAATCGTCCAAAAATCGATCGCTAACATTAAAAACAATTACCACTATAATTGTATCGAATAAAATTATAAAAATAAACGTAATTCAGATATTATAAAATAAAAAAACTTGTTCATTTTAACGCTAGAACGTTTTAACTAAAGTCGTTTCCATTATATACCGTTACTTAAGGGAATTGAACACTTCAATTAATTAAATCTATGAAATAAAAACCAAATGAAATCGGTGAACCGTCGATTCTTGAAAAATATAATGATAAAATGACATTACGAACACAATGAATTTATCTCAACTTCGGAACTAATACTCTTTAAAATGTTGCAGTTAAAATATTTCCTTAGCTCCCATTTACATTGAAGCTAGATTCGAAATTACACGTTTTACTGAACCACTCCGTAATTGAAACTTATTTAAACGAAACTGAAGAAAGTGCCGAACGATTAGTAACAGAAAAATTGAAGCTAAATATTTTACAATACGCAACGGTGCCTGAGGCAGTGAATATTTCAAATACGAGTGATTTGTAGCTTGTAAAAAACTATTTTTTAGATGAATCAAAGCATCGATTTCTACGCGCAATCGCGAGGGTTTACCGCGCCGATTTCGACGTCCTGACACTCCGCAAGTTTTCCAAAAGAAATTTATCTTGATAAAGAATAGTTGGAGAATGAAGTCCCTTTTAAACCTACGCCCCACCCTCGAAAACAAAAAAAACAAGAACTTTGTGTCTGTAGGAATCGACAGTGATAGGATTAATGTTCTGAAACCACGTCCGCTGTACATACAACGCATTGTACTGTATAAGCCACAAAGTAAGCCGCGGAAATCCAGTCTTTTCTTTGTAATATTCCACATTTTGGTTAAGCAAGTTTGCTGTACAAATGCTACAATCATCTTGACGATTCTTTAACATGATTCTATTTGAAATATCTGGAACGAAGGATACGTAAACTGTCAACCGTTTTGAACCTGTATCGATCCTCGTGTACCGATTAAACAATTGTTATTTCGACGTTCTTCGATTCACGTTGAATTAATATTAAAATTTCATTATGGAGATATATTATTTTCTCAGCGTGCGATATAGTCTATGAAGATTTACCTATATGAAATTAATTTATAAATTCTCGTAACGTGTGAAGTAGTTTCAACTGAATGAACAGTAGACGAGGATCGAGGGAGTTCTTTGTTTTCGCTTAATTTGTACCACGAGAAATATCAAATCTCTATTTCCAGGAGCTCCATCTTTGTGACTTACACCACACGCCGAGATCTCCATTGAGAAGCACTTGTTTCGACTCCTTGCGAGTGAAACATGGTAAAAGCAGGCGCTTAAATTTGTTTTGGAATCGATTATTTGCTCAGAAAGATTTAAAGTATTGATTATGCCTCTCGAAAATGATTAGTAACGTTTATTGGCAGTTCGAAATGGGATCATAAAACGTAGAATTACGTATGCGAGGACGAGATACAAGTGCTGAACACATGCATCACGAGTCTAATAATAATATGTTACTATCGGAGAACACTGTTGTTATTGTTATTGTTAAAGATAAAGGAAGTGTTACATTGTTAAGTCGCAGAGAAGAAAGAGAATGAATAATGTAGAGAGAAAGAGGAAGAGAGGAAGAGAACAAAATTATTAATTACTACACAGAAGAAACAAAGAACTAGACGTATCGAGTACGTCGCAACTATATCTCTATCTACTATACTATTAAGTACCTAAGGGAGCGTCAAGCTTCGCCCATTTTTCGATCGCAACAGCGATCAACGCTATTTCCATCCGACACAAGGCGATTTCTTTCTACCGTGTGCGCACTCGCTGCTAAATCGTTACCTTTAACATTAACGATAGAAAAATCCACACGACCGTTAAACCTAAAACTCGATGGTGTTTTCGGACAATAGATATCACTAAACGATTATAAATCCCATCCGAGAATCTTCAACGATACAACGAACACACATCTTGGAGACAACTTTTTGAAATTCCTCCTCGACACGTGAGTCAAACATTTTTTAAAACTGAAACATGCGGTCACGTTAAACCGAACTGTTTTCAATCGTAATACACATTAGATTGAGTAACAATTTTGATCGATTGATTATGAAAATTGAGCACCTTATTTTTCTTGTCGCATATGGGAGTATCTATATTCAAAATTTGAAGATATACTTTTATTCGACAATAAAGCTTTCCTTTATACATATGGATAAGTGAATGATATGAAACAATACTGTTTCAAAAAGTCAAGGTCACGGCTATGCAAGAGAATGTTTAGGCAATGTCTAACTTTGAAAAGAAATTTCGTAAAGCCGATAGCAGAAAGAATTTAATTCCTTCTAAGCAGACTTTGAATATTGTGTATTTATTATTTAATCGTAGTAAACATTAATTTAATATTTAATATTTTACTTTATTAACTGTAAAATGGAAAATTAACTGTAGAAATGGCTGTAAAAAGCGAAATTATAAGTCTGTATTATTTAATTTCCGAAAATTAAAAATCTGTATAGTCTTCCGGGCAATTCTGGATAAAAAGTTTGGCAGCATAAAATATAAAAAGAATTACCCATGACAAATTTTCACATGTGTTTTTCTTTCTATTACAAATAAAAAAATATTAAAAAAAAATAAAATTATGTATAAATAAAAAAAATCGTATTACAAAGATTCATTAAATGATAAGTTACAATACTTACTTCTTACATTATTTTGCTCCAATTAATTAAATAAGTTAATTATATCCACCTTTTTCTTAGAAATACTCCTACGTGCACCACAATTAAAATGTTAAATGTTACAAAGCTTCTAAATTGCTATAAACTTTCTATTTTATATCATAGAACATGCCTGTACAATATCTTAGAAACCTGTGAGTCTTGAATGTTCGGACAAACTACTCAATCTATCGAAGACTGTTCTGCTGAGTATGACACGGAAAGCAGTCCACAGTTGTTTAAATTGTGAAATAATAGTTTGTCATGTCACTGCCCAATAGAATATTGATAGAACGATCGGATCATACGGAATCATCACGGGCTCTCGATTCTCAAAAAAAAGTAAACCTAAAATTCAGTTCTTCTGTAACTGCGAATTTTTATGTATGTTGAATACATTTTGTTAGTAGAACGTGATAAGAGAACGTGCCAGAGTTTTTGATCAGTACAACGAGAACTATAGCCGGAAGAAACTTAATCAACCGCTCAAGATCATTCAAATGCTACCACAATCGCACTATTACACTGATCAATTAGACAATTGTATAAATTAAGGGCCAAGATGCGTTGACTTCTTTAAGTACTGTACTCGTTCAAGCTGAGCGTGAACAAATGATTCTTATAAAACTTTGTTCGACTTTATTGCGTTGTTTGTGTCATAATTCTATTCACTTGTCTCATTTTAAATGCTTATATAGTACTATTAAGTAAATAGGAGAGAATTTCATTTCATGAAATGTTCAAAAGAGGTGTAAATATATTAGGATTAAATGGGAAGATAAGTTAAATCAATCGATTATTTTAAATATGCTCCTTCGATTGAATTTTTCATCACAAAAGGAATATCTATCCCATAAGTTTCTGCAATTTATAGACGTAACAGCTAATGTGAGTTGCAAAAAAAATGGTGCAGAAGTCATGTTTGATGTACACGTAGTGGAATAAGTAACTGTGGTCAGCCAATTAAGCTTCTTCTGCCTACAGTTGGAAGTATCTACCTAAAAATCGTGCGCACACACGAAATAGCGGCCTTAATGATTTTTCAGCGTGGTACTCGTTATCTCCTGAAATTCTTGTACCCATAATTGTAAATTAGTCGTCCTGATGTGAGCGATTCGCTTCCCTTCACCATTCTCATACGAATAATCATGTCCCTCCACACATTTATTCGTCGCCACGACTCTTCCGATTGGAAAGCATCATCTCAGACCCACCGTGCCAAACAATCTTCTACAAATCAAGCAAGTAGAGCAGCAGTAGAATTAGTAATCAGAATCACATTAGCAGAGTGCAAGCATATCAATAACATTTTCAATCTTGAATGCGAACTTTAAACGAAAAATGTGCTGAACCATGCAACTCAAATAACGAATTTTCTTGCAGAGTTGCTGAACATCACGACAAACAGATGTTGTCGGTAGAAGATTCATCTCAATCTCACCAACAAATACCATTTCTGTTCAATCAATAAACATAACAGTTGTGTACAAGAAGATTATAAAGAGTGAGCATCTTGTTATCAGAATCTGATTATAAATCTTCGATTAGAATTAAATTTTCATAACCCACTTAAATTTATTTTCGTCAGACTTTATATAAAGTCTATCAAAATCTTACATCTATCCCAGAACTATTTAATCTGAAAGCAATACTATACAATAACATTAAAAGTAATCGTTAGATAGTCCATGAATTATTGTTTTTGTCAGACGAAAATTTCTTTTCTGCATTACGTTACAATGTCCAAAATTAAACAGAAATACATGTCTTACTTGAACGTCCGGAAGAGGCGAACAAAGAACGTGAAAGTCCCGTTAAATTTTTATTAACATATTTGAATGGTAGGTTTAAATCGTTGAAATAACAAATCGGAAGAGTCCAGTCGCAGGTTTTAAAGTTCATCTCTCAGTGGACCGTAAGATAGATTAATAAATACTGAGTAAAGCATGGGGAAAGAAGCGTCGCCGAACGATGCCAACTTTGTGCCACCCGGAAGGCGGACGAATCACGATCATTTCAATATCGTGACCGTAATTGCGAATAATGAGTGCGTGTGCGAACCGTGTAATGAAGGCGCGGGTGTCTATACCCGCATACTCGTCTAATGTACATAAGGGAATCGGACGGGGGAATTTTCGTGAGACCCCGTTCTCGCTTCTCGTCTTCACCATCGAGGATAATTAGCGACAAGAAACCCTAGAATTAGAGTAGACCAGCAAATAAGTTTAGCGACGAAACCTCGCCAACCGAAATCTTTTTTCGAAGGGCCTCAGAACCGAGAGGCGTTGTATTTGTGTCAGCGTACATTTTTAATGGGAAAAAAAGAAAACTTATACTAAGGGAAACGATAATATTGATAAAAATAAACAGCGAAGATAACGAAGAGTTCGCATGTTCCGCGGAGGAAAGATTAATGAATAGAAAATAAAGAATGACGCCATTGAAAAAAAAACATTTGTACGTTAAAAGACATCGTTGTGACATTTGTATCGCGGAACGTGCGAACCGACGGCTTTTAAGGAACATATGTGACATGTGATTCTATGTTGTTTCAAATAAAACATTGTTGTTTTGTATACTATATTGCTACCATCTTTTGTGTGAGATTCTAAAACCTGTTGAGAAAGTAGTTTACACGGTTGAAGGGATATATCACCATGTTCCAGGTAAATGCTGATGCAACTCTTTTTTGTTCTGAAGATTAACAACACTCGGGTATTGCCTAATATAAAAGAAAAAATGATCCTTTTTCTAGGTGCTGTAAGATACTGATGTTGTAAGATACTGATTTATCTTTGAACATAATTATTTTTTAAATATAATTAATGAAATAAGAGAAGTGAAGCAACTTCTGAAACACGCATATATATTTTGACATTACATAATTTCTATGTGGTTACAATAATTGCTGTTTGCTAGAGTTATTAGATACTTTACCATACAGAAAAGTTTAGTATTGATGCAAAAAGAAAAATATGCTTTTATTTATTTATTATTTGTATGATTCCGATCCTTTATTAGTGAATTATCAGCATTTTGTATCAGAATTTTTAAGTTCCTCAAATTATATTGCATAAGAGGTAAAATTTGCAATGGCATTACGACAATGTTTCTGAAGAAATATTGTCTTCATAGAATCAAGTTTGGCATTATTATGTTCAGACAGCAAATTTTTTTTTACTAATATAATATTAAAATAATATAAAACTAAAATAATACTAAAATATATTCATTATGTTGCTTCAAAACAGTAAGAAGACAATTTTCAATGAAAAGAAACGTCAATCGATAGTCATTATCGACTGCTTAATAGCTGACAATTAACAATTTTACCATAAGATTCGATACATATACTACGTTTTAACTCGCAAAAAATTCTACGTTTGTGGAATTTGGCAACTTCAATCATTGGTTTGAATACAATTTTTAAATTCGGCTCATCGTAGACGACATATCACAACGTATGCTCATTTTACACAGTCGGTATTTCAGACTACCGGACACGAAGCCCCATATGAGTCGCTCAGAAGCCAAAATTAAGTCCAGAAATCAAAAATTCAGAAAATTAATGTTTCATGAATGAAAATTATTATATAATATATTCAGAAGCTATAAAAAAGGGCTTTCTGATTCAGAAAAAAAACGAAGAAACGAGTAAATCCTTTAACAACTAAAAAGAATATTATTTATTCCATTAAAATTTACAGAAGTCAAATAATATGGAAAAATGGACTTAACCGCATTGGTTTTTGAGCGATTCATATAATGTCCAATCTATCCTGTCTTTCATCGATGCCGATGAAAAACAAAATAAATTGGACATGCAATGCATCGACTGATGTAAATTGTTTTTCACAAGTAATGTAACTTTTTGTCGCATGGTTCGCTGGTTACGTCGTCAACAAAACACAGGTTTCTTATTTCTCGTCGATGTTGAAGATATTCGTTTCCCCTACGTTAGATCGACATTATTTTTTTATATGATTTGACACTCGCGTTTACATACCGCGCTAAAAGCAAATCGCGAAACGCGACGTATAGTCCCTGCACCGCCTACTGTCGATGTGCAAATTCTTCCTTCTTCTTATTTGTGTATTCATCGTGTATTAACCGTCTGAGGATGTTTCTGGACGATTATTATATACATTTTCTAGTAAGAGTATTCAATTAACCAACAAGTGGTTAATTTTTCAACTATCCCTATGTTGATAAGGCAGTCTGACTTGATCACAAAAATCAATAATGTGTTTTCCCACAGTCGAGATATGTGTAAATTTATTACGACTAACGTGAATACAGATACCTTAATTTCCAACACTCGGTACATCAGATGAACCAATCATTTGTAGTCAGTTAAGAAAAATATACAATATTTTCCATAGGTGTATTGTAGGATTGTATTTTAGCCAAGAGGTATTTGATTTTATTGTAATATAATAACGAAGGATTTTTTTTCTATTTTTCATATTTTGATTCAGCTTGCCTGTGATTTTGATGAGACAAGTGTAGGTCGTATTTACTGACCCGTAGTCAGTTTATCGATTGAAGGAATAAGCGTTCAGGGCAACATTACGTGATATTAATTAGTATAATTTTATAAATAGTACAGAGAAAATTTTTCAAAAATTCTTATCATTGAATACAGGAAAAGATGATGTTGATTGAAATGAATATTAACTTTATAGGTACAAGGTGCATGCAAATATAACAAACGAACATTATGTGAAACGATTTAATTATTACATATTTTCAATTCTACTTTTCTAATAATCGTATTTTTATCATTCTAGTTTGTTTAAAATGCATTTCTTTTCTCGATTTCTGTTACAGCTGAAAAGTATATACATATTTTGCATTAGTTTTATGCCTTGGAACCTGTATAAATGTAGAGTCTAGAAACGCTCTAAACGGTACTTTTTATATTTTTTAGATTTGATTTAATTTCAACTTTAACCGTAAAAAATTAAAGCTGCAATCATTATGTTTTCCTCTTAACTCAACGATAGCGAGTGTGTTTTAATTACTGAATATTAATTGCATCTATCAGTATCAGATATAAACTGTTGACATCATTTTTATTTTTTAAAGTTCTAGTGAAATATCTATATGTTTCGGGACTTATGAATGTTTAACGAGGAACATGAAATTCATGAGCTCTACCAAATGTTACATTTCTCGCGGGTATCAACGCATCAGACTACTATATTTAGTGTAAACGTGATCTTTTAAAAATCACGAAAACTTCATTGGCGGTGGAACCGCATAGTTCGGAAGTTTTTTTACTAAAAATCATTTCAAGGACATTCATGCGGTTTATACCTGAAATTATATTCCATTGTGCATTATATAATTATAAGTTATACATATTTTTATATAAATCTTCCTCTCGTGAAAAACATTCGAATAATAATTTTTCGTTCATAAATTTCATTCATATCATAAGATCGAGTAAAAAATTTGTGGTCTTAATAAGATCCTATTAATTTATGTACACTTTTGCTTGTTACTTTATATACCTAACAGTAGCACATTCAACGTTATATACTATACGTAAATATAAAAAAATTTCAAATCTATATTTAATAGCCCCCATGAACTTCCGGTTGTTTGGTAGATGACTGTCAAACTTATTGACAATTCTGTGCACATATACATCAATTACCCACAAATTAGGATTCCAAATATGTAGCTTAATAATTCACGTTGAATTTCCTGTAGCGACATTTGAGAACAAAACTTTTTGAATGTATTATTAAATCATGTATCTATTTTATGAAGTTTCGATTATAAATGATTAAGATTTGTTATCAATACACACATGCGTCTTCATATCGAAACAGTATTTTCTATTCAAAATTTATATATGAGAATGTCCATCGACATTAACCTTTAGAATACAGGTGAAACACTTCTTGAAATTCTATAAAAAATTGTTAGTTATTATTTAGTTATTAATTGTTGTTAGTAAATATCATTTTTTACCATAAAAATATGCTGGTCTTCTAGAGATTAAGTAAATGCAATCGCGTATTTAATTTAGTTCTTCAACTGAACTACGTTGCATATATGTTGCGCATTCTACACGTTTACAACGTACACGATTATTTAATAGATTGTATTGAAGCCTATTTCAATAAACCAATATCATATTTGTAATCTGACGGATTTATTATTAACGGAATGAAATGTTTCATTTCTTTGAGTTTCCATAAATTGATTCGTGAATACTTATACTTTCGCAATCCCACACTGTTTGCGAACGTTTCTTGCCACGAATTTTAATATAGTTGAGGAAACGTCTTCCAAATGTTTTTGCCGTTTTATCAAGTATGTACTCAACGTGCGATTGAAATGTGATTTTTGAAGTTAAGCTATGCAGAAAGTACTTACACTTTCTTTTTAACTTTTTATGGACGGGAATTTTTAAAAGTACCTACTAGAACATTTTTCCATAAGAATTTTCATTATATATCAAACTTTTATATACTAAAATAGAAGAAAACTATAGATTGATATTTTCTTATTTAAATAATTGCATCACTTGCTTGCAAATTTCGATCCTAGATGCCAAAGTTCGGAACCACCAATATGTTCACATTCGTTCTCTAAGGGTTCACGGTAAAATAGTTTAGAAGAAAGTTTGATATTTTCGACAGGAAGTTTCAACAATTCGAAATTTTCGGCTAGGAGTTTGATTTGTAATGTGTATTTCAAGCAGCATTTGAGGCACTTGTCTGAGACGCTCGTGACTCTGGTATCTCCGGCATTATTCCTTAAAATATACGATAGCGTGTCGGGTTATATTTGACAATACTATAACGTGGCCTCGATATATCCGTACAATCTCTGGCACCATCGCCACGGCTTCAGTCGGTGCGTTTCACTTTCAGTTAACCACCGGCCCTCGCCAGTCTATTTCTGCAACCCTGACGTTCAACGCGATTTCAAAGGTCCGCTGTCACCCTTTGTGATCGCCTCGCGGCAGATAGCAATACCATGCGTCCCTTGTCTTAGGCAACAGCGATCAAATATAACAGATTTGATTAATCATTAGCGTGCCAATGAAAGTCACTCAGGGGCACATATATTTTCCTACGTCATTCAGTTACTGGTAACACTTAGGCGACCGTATGAAAAAAGAAATGTAACTACATATAACCTTTTTCGTTAACTTCAATTGAACTCATTCTACAGATTTGACTAAAAATTGTGTTTTACAAAAACAAGGAAGGTATTTAATGAATTATAAATATCATTAGTTCAATATTTATTAAATAACGAAAAAATTTTAACAAAACAAATGGCAATGTATTACTAAGGAAAAAGTGGGAGATTTTCCTGTGTGTTACATCTTATTGTCAGCTTCTATAAGGGAAATGTATTAAAAATAGTTTGTTGAAGTTATTTCAAACATAGAGATAAAATGTAGAATCGTTTAAGGGATATGTAGCTACGAAAGATTAAAGGAAACTGATAAATTTAATATTTGGTTTCACCTATTACCAGC